AATGCTTGGAATGCTTGGAATGGTATTTTCATTATTTTTGGGGGTGATCAGAAACGCATATAGTGGATTTTTATTATTTTCTATAGAAAATAAAGAGAATTATTGATGACAAAATGAAATATTACAAGCACACATAGATTAATAAATATATTTATTTTTAAATTGATAAATATATTTAAAATGTATTTGTTTCAAATTAATAAATATATCACAGTTCCGCAGCACCTACGAGCAGCCTCCCCTGCATATTGAATGTAATAATAATTGGAACGATCGCAACAAGGGTTATTTGCAATGTATACCAACGCAATAAGTGGTAAATTTATTATTTATTATCTACGAATGATAAATATAGTATCTATAGAATTAATAAACTCGAAGTGTGTTTCATTATTTTTTGAGAGTGACATTGCCTGAGCTCTTCAAAATTTAATACTAATGGGTATTACATTTTATTTTACAAATTGGTGGGGAATTAGTCTCTGAAAAATAATAGAACGACGTAAATTAAAGAGTGAGGGCAAGAAACAAAGAATGTCACAAAGCGGCTTTATTAAGTTTACTGCGCAAGTTCAATACTAATAATACTCGTCTAAAATAACGTTCTAGAATTTCTCTGTTACTTCCAATTTCTCTTGCAGTTCTTTTGCTAAATTAAAATAACAGTAATTCGTCTTTTAGCGAAGCAGGTATCGATTGAAACTGTTAAAATTTTTAATTAGTTACGAAACGACTGTAATTTCCCGACTACTGTCGTCTCTGTTTCAAGGGGATCGTTATAAAATACAGCGTGCTCGCTGTAACTTTTTATTCCATACGTTTCTGTACAAATTTATTTTCTCGAAAGGGAGAAGAAAAATTCCAGTTAAGGAGGAGAAAAATAAAAGTAAACGTAGAAGTAAAAGTTGCGACAGACAGACCTCCCGCGAAACGTTATGTTTTATGAGGGGATGAATCTGAAATTGAACGATGTATCAGTGAAACTCCATACGAGTGTCAGGAAATATTAAATTTAATTTCATTAAAATTGTTAGTAAAATATATGAAGATCACGGTTTCAGATATTCAGTAAAAAATCAAGAGGACGTTTTACGTGCGATCCTCCATGATTTTCAACAATCAAATACAAAATGACTATTACTAAAACTGCATTACATCAAAATTGAAACTAATCTGCAAAATTGAACACAGGAACATTGAAACAAAACGGACAAATAATTTCAGAGTTAAAAGTTATTTATTTATGCAGAAGTCAACAGTGTCCTTCGATTAAGTAAAATATTTTCCAAAATTTCTCATTTCTTCCCCACGATCTTTAACAGAGACAACTTGTCGTTTCTCGACGCCGAGAGGGGAAATATCGAACTCGCAAAATCATCAGTCAGCAACGAGCGAGCCGACCGCCAGGTTTCAAACCAGGTTTTTCAGTTCCAGCAGTCTTTAACTCGCGATCACGTTCCCAGGATTAAAGGAGAAAGCGTAAACAGTAGAGATTGCCAATGGGAGATCCACGTGAACAGAACGTGGTGGAGGCCGCGCGGAACGGTGTCTAGGACGGAGCTCGGGTGCAAGGGTTCCGCGTCTTCGATTGGTTCATGAATTTTTCAACAGTCGCCATTTGTTTGATCAGACTTAGAGCCCGCTGAGAACTGCACTTTTCACTCGACGTCGAGAGTAACGGCCGGGGGTGGCGACGCGCGCGTCTGGTAAGTGGAGCATGTGTTTGTCCGCGTACCATGGAAATGCGAGAATATCTCGAGAAAAAGAAGAAGAAGAAGAAGAAGAAGAAGAAGAAGAAGAGGAACGACGTTAACGCGTTAGCGCGGCATCGTCATCTCGCTGCCGCTCCTGATTCGACTTTGTCGTTCGAGAGTACACGAACAACGAACTTGTTATTAATATTTTATTTATGATCGTAGTTCGACAAACTGCAACATGCAATACGGTATGAAAAGTATAAAATAACAAGTGAAATGTAAATTTAATATTGGCCAATTTAATATTTATCTGTACACTTGGGAACGATAGAACGTAATCGAACGTGATGATTTTGAATTAATACAATATGCGAATTGAAGTCGTTATTAATTTTTTGACGACAAGTTATATGTCTGTGAACTTCTCTTAGGGGGGAAAAAAAAACTGTCACACGATTTCATTTCATTTGAAAGATGAAGGGGGAGGGAATTGAAAAAAATTTGAAACTTTATACAAATATATATACATTATATATTATCACAGTTGCATGTAGGCATCATTTTTATATCTAGAGTCTCTGTTCTCGATTTTCTATACTTTTTTGGAATTGTAGAATTGAAATTACAGAATATCGAATATCTAAAAAACTATTTTTGTCCGTACTGATTTCAAATCTTACTCATCGTACTTTCTAAATATAAGTTCTAGTTCTTCCTCTTATTTATAGAAAAGCTGCATTTTCCATTTTTACACTCTTTATTCCAATTGTCGACACTCTGTCGTGATCTTTTTACTATTCAAATAATCATTTCAATGCCTCTATTTCCTGAAGTTTCCAGAATTCTTCGTGAAATATAGATTTCAAGTTTCAATTTCATTGCACGGCGTAAGACCACGAACATGTGACCAGAAAGGAAACCGGTTGAGTGATAGATTATTTCCGATCACTGATCGGCGCTGGACGCACTATCCACAAAAGTAATTGGAACCGGAAGGGGGTCTTCAGAAGCGTCCACAGCGCGGTGAGGCAGTCGGTAGAAATGATTTTGAGGAAAGTGGCCACCAGCGACCACTGATTGACCGCAGATTGAATTCTGTTCACGTCAAATAATCGGTCGAAAGGTACATAGGTAGCATCAGTTTCAGCTTGCAAGGACTAGAAAGCTGGATTAGAATTTAGACGAGAACGCGTGGAAAATTATGTTAACTTAACTAATATTCCTTTCGTGAGTAGTATCTTTATTATTAATAGAGCAATATAGTAATTAATAATTATTAATTATCAACAAAGAAACACTCGTAGATTTCAATGAACTTCAGATAGGTTGTCGAAGTCAGAAAAATTAGAATCTATATTAGAACTCGTGCTTGTTTAATTGTATATTTCTTTCGTGAGCAAAATAAATAATTTCATGGATTTGGAATAATTACATTTATTAATAATATTTATATATTATACAATAAAGGGTGTTTCAGTTTTTGCAATAGACAAGGCGGTAATTGTAAAAATTTTAAAGAAATTGAATTTTCTTAGATATAAAACATCGTCTTTTGATATTTGTTAGTGACAGTGAAACATTTAAGTAAAATTCTTATAGTAAAGGCAGAGTGACAAAGTTATGCCACGATTTTTACCAACATTTAAAAGTCAATCAAACGGCGATGAGAAAATCGAGTCACGAAAAAGATATTTTCAGTGCTTTCAGAGGCGTTTGAATTTATACAATTTTCAAGAATAAAAATATCTTTTCCCAGCCAAGAAAGAAAGAACCCAGAACTGTCGAGGTAGAGGCTTCACACTTCAAAACGGGATCAAGTGGATTGTTATATATACTTTCTTCTTTTTTTAACGAAGTTACAACCGTTTCAAATATCGACGATTCTCCGTCGTTATTGATTCAGTCGTTCTCTTCACTGCGTGATATCGGAAATTCTGGCTTGATGATAACGGATGAGAGGTCGATAGAACATTCACAGTTAAATCCATAATATCATTCGAATTTCGCTGCATGCACGATATACATGAGCCAGTACCGAGAATAGGTCGTCTTATCCTCTCAATATTGAGGAGGTAATTAATAAATTAATAACTCTATCGTTTGTCTAGACGAGCGAATCGATGAGATCCTGAGAAGGGTCCTTCCGAGAAGTATACTTTAACCTAGCTTCAGTCCCTATTGAAAGGATGGAATAGCTGCGTGCAACGCTGCTTGTCGATACATCAATTGGCGTCGCTATCCGATGCTTTCGTTTATGACACGGCTATATAACCGTGTTGATGTTGTTACGCTATTTAGTATGGTCGTACGTATCGTCGAAAATGAAGAAATATCGCCTACCGCGTTCATTGATTTCCTTGTTTTTTTTCTCCTTTTTTCTTTTATTCTTCGACACGTTGCTCTTTCGTTCCCCTAATACGTCGTTCGAGGGCCCTTTTCAACGAGCCGCTAAATTTGTTTGACACCAGAAATTACGCCGCGCCTTTCACTGCCTCCGAAAGCCGCCGCTTTGATCTTGATCAAACCCTTTCGTCGCTCGTCGCCGCTTTTGGCAACAAAAATACGCTCGGGTATTCCGCCGTGGCACCGCGAAATTCCTTTCTGCGATTTCGGTCGCGAATCGGAGATTTGTTCATTGAACCTCTCCGATAAGCGACGAAGTGAATATCGAAGACTTGTACGCTTGTCAGTCAGAAGAATTATTATCGAATGTCCGAAGACATATTTTTGATATATTTTCAACAGATAGAATACAGAGTTACATGTCTGCTCTTGATCATCTTTATTATATATTACGTTAAATGGAAACATTGGACTCTTGGTAAAACTTTATTGAATATTTTAAGTAACGAAAATGTCTAAATGCAGTGGGGCTGACAAATTTCACAGAGCGGAATTATCATTTTCTTGAGATTAAAGAAGAAAAAAAAAAAAAGAAACGAAAGAAAGAAAATGTATCAAAAGAAAAGACGATGTTCGATGTTTCCCATATGAATAATTAAGGGAGGAATGCGCTAAACCAACGTCTCAATAACACACGTCCTCGAGAACGTGTTTTTCGAAAAGGATTTCACATTAGAGAGCATGAACGTCGAATATATTTATATCACTTATACCACATTATTATTATTATTCGTATATGATATCATTACATTATTCGTATTATCAATGATCAAGATACTTGTACAAGAACTATACGTAGCCGCGGATGATTGAAATTTATTTATTACAAATGCGTCGCGTTTGTTGAAAGGTTGAAATAGCGAGGAAAAGAAAAAAAAAAGAAAAACGAAGAAGACTTACCGATGACAGTGAGGTTGTAGCGGAAGCTGCGTGTTTGTCCCTTGCGGAAGTCGACCCTGCATCTGTAGGTGGCCGCGTCGTGCCTCTTGATGTCCTCGATCACGAGGACCGCAGGACTCGGGAACGCGGTGCGAAAATACGCTCGCGGGCCAAACACACCGGAATCCGAGGAGTGTTGCGCTTTGGCCACCGGCTTCTCTCTGGCATCGATCCTGCAACCGGCGAAAAAAAAGGATTCCCCCCGGAGATCAATAACGGAGCCGGAGCCAGTTTGTTTAGGCCGATGTGATCACCGTCGCTTCGAACAATGGAAAATCGCGCGTTGGCCAATGTCGCAGTCGACAATGAAATTTATTGGAACGTCGTAACTGGTTAACGTAATACAAACGTAATTCGCCATTTATCGATGTATCGACGGTGGTGACAACGGTGTACAGATGGAAAATGGGAGGGAGTAATTTCACCGAATGGAAACCGTGCTTTTGGAAACCGGCGAAAATAATTCGCGGTCTGCCGCTCAAATGTCCGAGGACACTTTTTCGATATTTGGCAGGATATTAAATTCGAAAAGAAGGTAGAATTTGGTGGGATATTGAATTTATTCGATGATAAGTATTAATAATATTTTTCAATTGCACGTGCGTATTAATATAATTGTTAATTTCAAGTGCAGTTTACCTGTTAATATATTAGGAGTTTTATAGATTTGTCGTGTAATTTTTCCAATTTGGAAACGAATGTAATAAAAAAGTTTGCCCTAAAAGGAGTACATACAGCCCGAAAAGTCTGTACATGCAATAATACCAACAAATATATAAAATATCCAAAATGAAGTATTATAACATTTAATATAATGCTTATATAATATATAGGAGACGAAATAAATTTCTTTTGGGTTCTATTTTTTCAGCGATGTTCATGAAAGTTTTAAAATAGGTAAAATAAATTTAAATTGTTTCTTTCACGCTTCTAAAATTTTTGTTGAATTAACAACTGAACAAAGTGAAGAATTTTAAAATTTAAGTCACTGGGTTTGATTAATAACAGTATAAGTTTCATCTATATGATTCCTAACTAAATTTTATTTACCTATAATGTTAGTAATACGAAACTAATGATTTTTCTGTCAATTTTCGCCAATTGAACGGTGTGATTTAATACCTTCTTCTTTCCAGTTTAAAAAACGCACGAAAATTATAGCAAACATGTGTGTTTGTACAAACCATTAAGAAGCTCGATAGTGCAAAATTCGGAGAACGAAAGCGCCGGTACCGATTTGTCAGCGATCGCGCTTTGCCGGAAGCGCGCCGTGGCACAAAGATTAACCCGAAACCACTCCCCTTCCAAAAAAGATATACACCAAAACCGACGACGAAAGTTCGCCCTTTTAATCGACGTTGGAACTTGGGTTTCCGGCTCGCCAGTGGCACGCTCGCTGCCACCGATAGGGAGGGAGCCGTTTGATGGAAAGCCAGCCGTCGAAAACGTAGCCAGTCAGAGGGAAACGCGGAAAAGAGATACTCGATACCGGGATTGTTCGCATTCCCGGGGGACTTTCGGGCCGGTAACCCGCGGGAGAGGAACTTCTTGCCTGGCCCGCTTTGTCTTTATCGTTTCCGTTTCTCGCCCGCTCCCTTGGCCAGCTGGCACCCGGTGAAAGCTCCGGCCCGTTTTTTTCCCACCGCTGGGACGCTCGACTTGCACGCGGAACGCCAAGAATTCGCGGAACGGCCCCGCGGTATTCGATATGTATGTAGGAAACGATCGCAATTTCCAGCCAATGAAATTCGAACGGAGCCGCGCGCGGGGCTTTCATTTGTAAGGTGGCCTCGCGCAGAGAGGCAGAACTCGGACAGAGAGAGAGAGAGAGAGAGAGAGAGAGAGAGAGAGAGGGCAGAGAGGATCGACTGGAAAAAAACTCTCTGCCATTACAATTCATTGAGGCTGGCTGGCGCCAAACACCGCCGCTCATTATCACTCGCCCTACTAGAGAATATAATTATTTCAAATCGATAAAATAATTATCGTCAGATCGGGGGTGAAACGCGCGGCCGACCAGAGATAACGCAATTAAACCAAACCTACCCCCCCCCCCCTCCCCCTTCGGTATTGTTTGATATTTCGCGCGCGCCGATACCCATTCTCCGTTTCCGATTAACAGCTTTTATCGCCGCTATTCTTTTTTTTTTTTTGTTCTTTCGGAGCGAAACAAATGTTTTCGCGCCCGAGTGCTGCAGTTGGACGTAAGCTTCGTTTCTAAGCGTGACTCAATTACGGTACAGGATGATTGCGTGTAAAAATATTGAAAGCTATTTTTTTGTTTTTGTTGTTTTTTCTTTTTTTTTTATTTGTTTTTTGCTCGAATTAAATGAAAGAGAAGAGCTCATCTTTCAGCGCGCAGTGCAATTTTTTTCAGGATTTTTTTTAAATGGAATATGGGATTTACTTTTCGTTGTTCGGACAGCTTTTATCAAATTTAATTTCGTGTAGATACAGTTACAGAATTGCGGAGGGAAATTTTGTTCTTCGAGGATGCGGAAAGATGGCGAATTTTTGTTTTATTAAATATTTGAAGCATTACTAAGTGTGAAGCATTACTAAGGACTTTTAAATTCTCAAGTTCTTTAGAGAGACAAGTCTATAGAGAAATATTCTTTCGCACATTTGTTAAAATTATCTAACAAGTTGTTCCGTCTCGAAATATCTTCACAGATGTACTGTTTTATTTGATGCAATTAGTCGACGAAACAATCTTATTTCTACAACACAGAAAACAACTGAATCAAATATCATCGTACGTTATCGATCATATAAAAATATTCGCGAATATTTTTAAAAAATTGATTGTGCAAAATCTACACTGTAACATTAACCACGTAGGTTAGGAATTTAATCGACGAATACACCTTCGATTATCACGCGTGAGAGACGTTATTCCAATCTAGTAACGAGTATTTAATAGAAACGAAGAATTCCGATCCGCAAGATGCCAATAATATAATATATTATATACATAAAATATATATATAACATATTATTAATATTATATTATATATATATAACACATTATTTATATTAATATATAAAATCGCTGGTTTAATTACGCTCTTGATTGCATTCACTCGAGAAAGCCATTGTATTTCTCTGAAATATCCCCATCGTGCGTCAAACTTTCGCGCGGGAGTGTACCGTATAAACCGTTCGATGAAAAATTGCCGGGCTACCGCGGCAAATCGAATCGTTCTGATGTATGCGGCCATCGATACGCCACGCGTATTCCATTACACGTTTTCAACGTCGAGAGTGTTCTTTGTCAAGTAGTTGTTTGCTTCGTGCGAAGTGAAGTGTATCGTTGTCACGATTATCACCGAGGCGAGGCGTAACAGAATGGTGTACGTAATCTCCAGCTGAACCGGTTTCTGATCATTGGCCGAGGAAACAGTTAAAGAGTTATTGTTCTTGCTGCGGACGGAGAAACATTCGACGCGAATCAACTGAAACAGCCCGAGCGGCTGACTAATGTTGATTTTATCCCTTACCGGATCCCTGCCCTCCCATTGCACGAGACTCTGCTGACAACAAACCGACGATATCGCGCGCAGAGCATGTTTTGGGATGTCGAGGGATATCCCCGAGGTTTCCCAGCAAACTGACGGTTCCACATTGTTTTTCAATTCATTTACATATGTGTTAATTTATCACGTTACCGAGCATACTGATATATATCAAGTGACGTTACAAATATATCAGTTCCTTTGAATTCCATAGATTTGTGAAAAAGATATTAACTCTAAGAGAGTTAATATCTTTCGATAAATTTGATAGTTGCAGTTTGTGTTTGATTTACACCATAGAATAGAATAGAAACGAGTGATTACTGCATGAATCTCCAAATAAGAACGATTATTAATTTGCAGTTGCAAGGATTTGGAACAACCCTAGTCTACCTAACAGTTGAGAAAACTCTTGGAATTTTCTTTTGTGATTCTAATGTTAAAAAAATAGAATTTTCAACATAATTGAATGAAATAGCACGGTATAATACAGTACATTTACAAAAAGTTTCAAAAAATTTCACGAGTAACTTTTGTTAAATATATATTTACAATAACTGTTTTGCAACTTTTGTATATATCTTCAAATTGGTATCAAATTAATGGTGACAATCAGGTCTTATTACAATATTAATGAAATGTCAACACATAATACACTTTATTTAATATATTCATAAAATATTCCTATAAATATTTTCACGAGCATCAGTAGCACCAGTATTAGACAAAAGAGTTAAACCAATTTAAATTAATTTAAACTAACCTGTTTGACAATGTATAAACGAATACAGCAACCTCGAATGATTAATACTACTTTATTATTATTTTATCTATTATCATTATTCATTAAATTATTTTTAATATTTTATTAATTCATCATTTATAAAATATTAGTTCATCATTATTTATTAATTCATTAATTCATCATTATTTTAAATCATTTGATTCGTCTGTATACATACAGTACACCCATAAATACCCTACATCTGTAGCCTAATTGTTACGAGTTTCCACGAGTTCCATTCGGTGTGGCTCGATGTATTGCGATTTCAAGTGTTGTTAGATCTCGAGGCTCGTTTGTTTACTCGGCAAGAGCTTCGCGATTTCATTTTTCCTTTGGCGCATTACGCGACGATGGGGATCGAGCGATAAAAACTCGTGGTTAATGTACCCGTTGACACGGCAAATGTCTGAGCGTCATTTTTAAACGTGCCGAGCAGCCTGATAAAAATTTTTCCGGCGGAGCAGCCGTTTCAGGGATGACAGTCGCGCATACACAAGCGGCGGAAGCGAATCGCGAAATAAATGATCGGTGACGAAAGACGATGGGAGGGAGAGGTACGTGGCTGGCTAAAACGGTGGAGATTGATGAACCCAGGGACGTCGTGTATCGCGAACGGATTAAAATATGACGAAAATTTCCGCGTGTTCCGCCGTTCTCGTCGTTTCCTTCAGAAAAATACCGTCTCAATTACTTTTTCTCGTTGAAATTTCGCGAATGATCGATGTACCGGGAAGAGGGTGGTACTACAGCCCCTCTGTTTTAGATCTCTTATTACTAATTTTTTGCTACTTAAAGGAAAGAAAAACGATTTGCTTGAAACAAGTTACTTTTAGGAAGTTGAACAGAGATGAGGATATAACGTCGAATGCGTAAATTAAATTTCTGTTCTTTATAAATCTGTTTATTCTGATTAACTTTAATCTATATGGATTAAATCTCCTTTCTTGAGAATGCAACGGTATAGATGTTAAAAGTGACAGGTGTGCCGCGGAAGACAAAGATAATTGTACAAAAATTACACCGTGTGTGCTATCTTGAAAGATTCAAAATTTTTTGGTCCCGACGCATCTAACAATTTTCTATGTCCAATAAATTATCTAAAATCGACAGTTATGGAAACGCGCAGCAAGCATTTTTCTTTCGTTTTCGGCATGATGAAAACCCTTGTTTCGCAAGTTGGATTATTTACGCTTATTACCGGCAATGACCCCGTGGAAACATCTTTTGTCTGCGTTAATAAGGGAATAATACGGTGCCATTTGTCCCTAAATGTTTTTGTTCGAGACAAAAGAGGGGCCGAATTATGAGCAGATATAATGCCACTCATTTCTGTACGTGATTACACGCCAGCTTCCAATACTCCACCGGGGCACCCTAATTCCTAAAATACCTCGCGATCCCCGAAATTCTCTTTTGCACCGTTTTATTTGCCCGCCGTCCGAGCGTAATTTCACCGCACCTGGAACGTGAATATACGTGTTTTTAAATAAATGTGTTATTAATCGTTTTTCGTTCGCGAACGGGCGAAAGGCACAGGCGCTGCCATTATAATAAAATAACGAGAATCGAAATAACACGGGCGTGCACGTTTCTGCCTGGACGGACGGCTAACAACCTGTTTTTCCTTCTTTCGCTCGGTAAAATCCATTAAAACGCTTGAAGCTTGAAGCTGGAATTTCAACAGGGGCGGCTTCGAAATTCGGCAATTTCGTTGTTGGTTAATCGTTACGTCTTGGAGACTAAACTTGGAAAACAGAGGCACCGTGTGATGTTCGTTAATGAATGTCGCCGCTAGAAACATCTGGACCGGTGGTGTGTGGTTGTGTTATAACGGACGATAAAAGACACGAGAAAAAGAGAAGAAAACGTAAAGTGAAATACCGTTATGGAAGGAAGGTTTAATGTGCCATAATTATGTAGCATTAGCCGGTTTCATACAACGCACCGTGGCCGCAATTACGGCGAATCCCGTGATTCTTCGTATTTAAAAGACGTTAGCATCTTGGCTCGATCCATAAAATTAAGAAAAGTCCAACAGTCTGCTCTCTCTCTCTCTCTCTCTCTCTCTCTCTGCTTCGAACGACATTCGAAAGAACGAGAAACGAAGGAAAAGAAAAGATAAACTCGCTGGTGAAACGCTCTTCGCTCGGAATTAGCAAACATCTCCTTCTCGAAAAATCTGGAGAATCGTCGAGTAGAGTTTCATACGATATTTTCGTAGAACGGCGCGGGAGTTTGTCGTTAAATATTATTCTACTTGGTGAATCGATAAATCACGACACGTTCCATATATATACAGACGCTCACGAAAGTATGTGTTGAAATATTTGTAGAAGTTTCTTACGAATATATGCGCGTGAATGTGCTATCGGTGTTGCGTAAATTATAACGGAACGTTTTCAGATTTTATTAACGACTATCTGTAACTGTGCCGGTCGAGCTCGAATTTACGCAGAATTGAAGAAACACTTAAACAGAGAAAGTGTTACCTATTCTACTTGTTAATAGAAATCTCAATATTCATTGTACGCAATAACATGATCGCTCCTTCCGCGTGCCAACTTTTTTTTTTACTAAATACGCTTGTAATGAATATTTTGCAGCTTCATTCACTTTCAGATTGGTTTCAAATTTTGTAAATGTAATCATGATAGTCGTGTCTCGTTACAGTGTTAATGAAACTTCGAAAATGTTTCGCGTAGCGGGCGTAACATGCTCGCCAAGCATACCTGCGTTACCAGGAGCATTTTATGAATACGTTACGCGTGTTATACGAAACATTTTGAAATTTCATTAACGCCGGCAATGAGAGATGGCTATCATGATTACATTGGAAATATGTACGTGCACATATATAGAAATTAAAGGACACTCAGTGTATACATTTTGTAGAACCACTAGTAATGGTGGCGTGCATAATATTTTTATTAAACACATACGTTCGCAGTAAATATTTCCTAATTCTCGATATAGCGTTTCACAATTTAACAACATGATCATATTTAGTCGTCTCTCGTTCACGGTGTTTCACACAACGCGCGCAACGTTCTTTGATGTAAATGTCGCAATAGATATATATACATATATATCTTCGCGTCCTTGATCAAATGCCGTTTTGTTTCGACAGAGTTTCCGATTGGCCGCGCAGCGTTTCGTCATTCGCGGCGAATATTTCCCCATATTACTCCACGGGAAATTTCTCCGCCGATAGGCAGACGGATGAAAAACGGCGTCGAAAAATAGGGAAGGGAATATGAGAGTGTGGCGACGTTGGCATTGTCGGCCAAGGGAACACGGTTAGATGCAATAAGGAGGCGCGTATCTTTCACCGTCTCGGATAGTCAGCGCCGACTACTTCTCAGCTACTCGTCGAGTTGCTCCGCGATGGGTTGCTCGATTCACGTCGACGCGCCACCGAGTAATATGGAATCGATGTCTGTTTTATGAAACGTTTTATCTCGCCGCGCAGCCCGTTTTCCAATATTTCGCCCCTTCCACCGTTTCTCGCTCCGCCACATTCGCGACCTTTTCCCCTCGATCCCTTTCGCTCTTCCTGCACGACCTACTTTACCTCTCTCGTGTACCGAATAGCCTTCTACATTTCTCTCTCTTTCTTCGTCTTCTTTCACCCTTACATCTCCTTTCTTCTTACGTTCTTTTTACTCTCTTTTTCTCTTCGCTTTGCCTCTCTGCTTTACTCTTACGACTCCGGCTACCCTTCTGCTCGGCCCTCATTCTCGGTCTCGTAAAAATGATACACGCCCTCCGGCCGAGGGGTAAATAGCATGAATATACGGGTCTCTCTCTCTCTCTCTCTCTCTCTCTCTCTCTCTCTCTCTCTCTCGGTCCGCGATACGAATCCACTTTACAACCGGTTCTTTCCCGAGGTTTTTCTCGTTAATTAAGTTTTTCGACTTTGTGTTCCCGATAGGTTGCCCCGGCAACCGTGTGGCGGTAATCCCGGTAGCCCAACGATAACGAAGTCATCAATCAGCCTGTTAACGCTGCGCCATCCGACAAGATCGCTCGTTTCTCTGTCCGGGCGGGAAGATCGCTGTTTTAAGCTTTCGCGGTTATTCTGGAGGGGTCGTAGTCTGCTGGTTCCCAGGGAGAAATTAAGACGTACGTCCGGGGCAGAAGCTCGGTCGAATTGATCTTTCGCTTCGTCGATTAGCGTTCACAAAAAAAGTCGCTTTTCACAATTTAACTTCTATGGTATTAGGTAATACAATTTGCATATACTATATTGACGACTCGAGCAGTTCAGTTATTTGTGCGACACTGGATTAGATTAGTTATTAATAACCACGTGTCATATATGTATATTTCATTCATTATTTTCTGAAATATTCATCCGCGTGTCAATATATTGGTTTATACTACTTGGAAGAATTTTTACATCGCGTCGTGTTCCTTTAATTTTATATTAGTATATTATTCACAAATGAATATCGTAATAAATGAACAACACATTAAAATACCAAACAAATATTAAACAACTAGAGAAACGTAAGATATATAATTTATTGTTGTAGCTACTGTATGATTTCATAACTACAGATAGATATAAAAGTCTGTATTGTACGAACCTATAAATTTAAATACTTTAACATACCATCTATACACTAAGCAGAATAATAAACAAGTTGTTTCAATTAATAACCAAATAAAGATTGATCTTTTCTGCACACACATACGTGTCTAATTGACGAAATAACAAATAACAAATTATTTTTATCATTATCCCCGGCAAAAATACATACGATTTCTTCAATTGAAATGCAACGAGTACGTTTGTCACGAGGCGTGTGACCTTGACATTTTTATACGTCACGTATGTGGTAACGAAGGTGATTAAGACGATCGGTTGAATCACGACGTGGACAACGATATGTTTTTCACGTGCCGTTTGCGTAATTACGATGGAAACGGTACAGATCGTTTTTTAATACTTTGCCCTATTTACGTTGCTTCTCTGCCGCAAGCTTTACCCGACGTTTCTCCTTCTTTTTACCTGGCCTCGCCGCGGTTGCCTGGCATCGCCCGTTCTCCTCGTAAAAATGATGTATGCCCTCCGGGCAAAGGATAAATAGCGGCGAAATAAATGGAGAGACCTATCCACCCATTTACTTCGCTTACGTTTCCTTCAAGAATATTGTATGCCCGCATATTTATTGCCCACGCTAATTTCGCGACATTTTCGCCGAGTTGTTTTACCTCGGCGGCGAGACCCGACATGCTTTATCCCTCTGACGTCTTCGAGCTTTTACAAATTTATACTTTATACTCGGTTTATAGCGGGAGGAGGAGGAGGAGGAGGGACCAGTTTCTTCTTTTCTCCGTTCTCTACGTCCTTACTTCGTTCCGCGGCCGCCCACCGCGTTTTACGACCGGCATTTTTCTATTCCGCTCCGCGTCACGAACGGTGCAACAGTCACCGACTGTTGTACTCTCCTTTTTTTAAAGAGTAAAATGACTGAGCACGCGAGAGAAGCAGAATTCGTATGTGTTACAAAAAAAAAAGAAAAAAAAAAAAAAAAAAAAAAAANAAAGAAAAAAAAAAAAAAAGAAAAGAAAAGAAGAAAAGGGAGAGAGAAACGCAAAAACGATTAGAGACGGACGATTAAAAATACTGGCATGGATTCCCAGTTCGTTAGCCCGGTTTCTCCTGCGGTTTGGCATCGCGCTTTCATTTTTTTATTCCTCCCTCCCCGAACTCGCGCCGCGAAAGAGATGATAAACGGCGGGTTCGAGCAAAGGGTAAACAACAACGGGATACAGGTACACGCAAACATATGCTCTCGTTACGCGGCTGTGTCACCATGATCGCTGACCGTTCCGAGATCGCGAAGCGAAACAGCGGGGACTCGAAAGGGCCCGAGATTTTCTACGAGACCGATCGAACCACGCGGCTTTTTTCAGCTCTCGTCGCGCGATCTCCCTTCTCTAATTGCGATTACTTGTGATTTGTTGCGTCGTCGTTGAAATTTTATAATTCGTGTTAATGAAATGTGATGCAATGTGAATCGTGTTCGGTGAGATTCGATTTAGGGAATTGGAACTTTCACTGAGAATTTCGAGATTCGTAGGATTGTAACTTCGAGTTAAAATTGACGTTAGAATTCTTGATATTGATGTATGAGAGGTTCGTTTTTGGATTGTAAATCAGTTTATTTAGCAAAATCAGCTGTAGAAGAAGATCTCTAGGTAGAATTGTATGAAGATTGATTTTAACATCACGTGAAAAATTAATGTGCTACAAGCATGATCATTAAAGTATAAAAATAACGATGCATATAATTGCAAATTGCAACACATTCGTGACTCTGTATTGTTGTTTATAGAGAAGAAAAAAAAAATTTAATGAGAATGAAAAAAAGGTGTAACGCTACGCTAATGGAATACGAAAAGACAAATTACGCTTGCTACTACATTCGCAAGAGAAATGTTTCGTACAATATCATAAAAATTTAAATATATGGTTTGTTTATGATCGTGGAGTTTATGATTGTCACGTTTTTGCAGTAAATATCATTAATTTTGTTAATTACTCTCATTTTCGGTTTTGCGAAATATCGACAAAATTGCTACGAGGCTATGCGATAGAAGAATGATTTCGTATAATCAACGATGCACATGCCAGTGCGCACACAAGAGGAAACAGAAAATTCATTTCGAACCATATGTACGATACCAAGAAAATTTATATGTAACAAGAATATCAAAATCTATCGATATCACGATTAATTAGAACAATTGTTCACCTTTGTGGCAAATTTAGAAATCTCTTCTATTTCACCTGAGCAACTTTTTGCTTTTTCATTTGAAAAATTTTTCCTTAAGACTCGCGAATTTAGACCGAGTTTAACTAATTGCTCGTTAGGAAATGGATCGATTCATAGGAAATTTGATCGAATACATGATATTACAGTTACAATTACGCTTTTAAAGTTTTACGCTGCGTGTATACGACGGAGTTGTTTCTGAAATCTGTCGATTTCGTGTGTGCACAATGGAATTTCGTACGCGTTGCACGGAAGATTCACCCGCGTTCGCTCGTTAGATCGCCCATCGGAAAGGCAGAAAGAAGTTTCTTCGAAACATCTCGATCGATTCGGTGGACCGATGGAAAAATAGAAAACAGAGAACAGAAGCATCACCGATCTGGTCTCTTTTCTCTCTATTTCTCTCTCTCTCTCGTTATTGCGTCCGCTTAGAATTCGAAGCAGAGGCGAAAAGAGCATTCCGCCGAGGCAGGAATGACGAGAACGTTTGTACACGATAACTCGTATTCCAACGATTGCTATTTGTTTTCACGTTCGTGCTGTCGGCGACAATGAGTCTCGTCGGGATGGAAGTTGGTTCCGGTGTGAATATTTCCGGTGCTGTGCGTGTGTACGTACGTACAGGCGAGCGTGAGCGCGTAGTACTGTCCACGTAGGGCGCGGCGGATTTCAGTAGAAATAACGACACGCAGTCAGACATATCGGTACGGGGCACGGGGTAGTTGCGACTGACGCTATCGTGACGTACTACTGCCGGCCGAGTGCTCTCCGCGTTGATCCATGTCACTGTTCCCACCTTTCTCTTTCTACCAACCTCCAGATTCCGGTTTCACTCGCCAGTTCTCCTCTGTCGTTCGCTCGTTAGATCGCAATTACTAGGCGGACGAATTAATTCGCGACGCTTGCAAAGCCGAGGAGCGTATAATCGTCTCCGATGGCATTTAAATTGTAATTTCGTAAAAAGAGATTCGCACGATCTCGGTTCCTTTTTCTTTTTCGTTTTTTTTTCTTTTTTTTTTTTTTCGAAGACGATTTTACACCGCGTGGCGAGTGTGTACACCTTTCTCGAAAAGTGTAAAAGTTCGAATATTAAAAAATTTCCTCCAGCGATTAAATCTCGAAGATTGAAATTTTTTCTTTACGACTTCTAACTACGCTAGACCAAAGTGATTTTTAGACGTTTCAACGGCGTGTTTTTTGAAGATTTAAATAATTTTCTGCAAAATAAAAGCTTGTGTTGCAAAAGTTTTTCTATCTTTTTTGGACTTCAGTGTCTCTTATGGAAATTTTATGGTTTAATCGTTGGTTAGTAGTTAACTAGCAAAATTGTTCATTCAATTGCGTTCAGACCTTTCAATTTCACTAGAAACCCGCAAGATGTCGAAAGATTATAATACTGTGCCGCAGTGAAAGAAAACATTTCTTTCATTTTTATTTCTACATCCGTTACTGTGTCTTATTAGGTTCGCTCTTACAATCTCTTTCTTTCTCTTGCTCGACGCATTTCTGCTTCCTTTTTATCACCACGTTACAACATCACATCCGCGAGCGGGTGAAAAATCCCGCGTGAAATAATCGCCGCGGCAGTGTTGCGGAAAGACGCGCGATCATTCCGACAAATTGTCAGTCCGAATATTGTAGCGAGTTGCGGGATCGTTTGAACGGGGGACAATTGCCATGAACGTACGTGCCGCGTACGCATCGTTCGAACAAAGAGCCGGAAGTTCGTCAAAAGCGGTGACGGCAACTTGTTCGTGCGTCGAACATGTAGCTCATGAGCTTAAAAGCATACATCGAACGATTGTGATGCACGGCTTGGCTCTTAAGCGCATAATTAAGACGGCTGGCTCTCTCAATTCCTGGCTAAAGTTTCACATATTCTACTAACGTGTTTCACACACACACACATGCACACAGAGAGACAGAGAGATGTATAGAGAACACACCGTC